AAATAAATAACCAATAACCTTCATATATAATATTATAAATAATTTTTTTTTAAAATAATTATATAATAATACATATTGTAAATTTATAATATGAAATGATAATATTGTGAATACGAAGCGAAATATAATAAGAGTAGACTGGTTTTTAGTTAAACCGAACCGGGAAGACCTTACCTGTACCTGCGTGCGTGATGCAAGTACCAAAAATACCCATCTCTCTTCCTCTTTAGCACTATCGTCGGCAATACTGGTGGAGGCAACGGATTAGCAAAACTCGGCACGATCAACTCGGTTGCTGAGTCTTTGGGACGAATTAACCCAGTTGGCGAGTCAACAAACTCAGTAGCCAGTTTGTCATCTAACGCTGGCAAATGAAGCGCAAATCCCAAAAAACTCGCCGGAGAAGCAAAAAACAGATAACAAGGAACTCCAAGCTCCTCAGCAACATCAATCGCCGCCGTGCAGAACATGTCGACGAACAATCCGGAGACTCGGAAGGACTTAGTTGACATGAGGTCGAGAAGTGCATTCTTTATGTTGGATTTCTGCTTCTCTATGTAAAGGGATATGTAACCTAGAGAGGACTGGTACTGATCTGGGGTGGGAGGGTCTGAGGCAGGGAGGTGGATGAAATTGGTAACGGCGGGTGGGGTTGAGGCGGCGATTGATTGGATATAAGCATTGACGACGGTCCTTTCGTCTATGGTGAGGATGAGGATGGTGGCGGATAATCGAGGGTCACGGCTGGTTAGGTGGCGGACAAATTCAACCGTCGGAACAAGGTTTCCGATGGCCGGGGTAGAGATGAAGACAACCTTGTAATTCGTCATTGATTAATTAAAGAATTATCCTGAACTATGGTTATCTTGTTACATTTGCAGTGCAGTAATTTATACAGAAAGGGATTTATTTCCACTTAGGATCTGTTTCTTCTAATTTAACAGTTGAGACCACAAAAACTTAAAGTTTTCACTTAACACATGCTATTTGTATACTTTTGTTTGGAAGCAAAAACCTACTTTTTTTTTTTTTTTTTAAGCCTTTTACCTTAATAAATTTAGGTTGTGTTTGGGAACTTGAATTTGAATTTGAATTTGATGAGTGTAATTAAAATACATGTATGTGAAATACATGTATTTAAAATACATGTATTTTAAAATATATTGTTTGGATTGAATTAAAAAAATGAATTTCAAATACATGTATTTTTAAATACATTGTTTGGATATTTTAAAATATTATGTATTTAAAATTGAATTTTTCTATTAAATTAAATCTTCTTCATATTATTATTTAAATTTAATTATCTCAAAGTTAACAATTTTAGTCTTTCA